AAAAAGGTGGCATTAATTCCAGGGCTTATAATGTGATTGTCTGCAAATTCCTTAAAGACTTCAACTAAATCCTCTTTCAACACCTCCCAACAGTCTTGATAAAAMCCMAYTGTAAAGYCATCTGGACCTGGAGCCTTGGATCTATCCATTAGAAAGATAGCTTTCTTAATCCCTTCTTCCTCGAAATCCCTTTCCAGCCACCTTGTCACTCCATCATCAATCTCTTTTTTCTCAATTAAATCAAGTAGCTAATGTGACATATTACATTCCTAATTCTACGAGTCGCCTTTGTGCCACGCCCCTCGAGGCAAGCCCAAACAAGTCCATGTTAGGGTCTTAAATTCTGAGTTTTCACACAAAAAATAATGATTTTATAGTTTTAATTGCTTTTAGAAGATATTTTATTGGGATGAATGAACGGACAACATTACCAAATAGGGGGTTCTCGAAGCCGGGATTCAAGAGAGGATCATTTGCTTAATTGTGATATAATCTGCAAAGCTACAAGTAGGGTAGGTTGGATCTAGAGAATGGAATTTAGAGAACTCCGCTTTATTGTGGTAGTAGCCATTGAGGTTTTCTAGATGGCATTAAAATTTTCAATACTTAGTAGTAAGAAGAAAAGTAGAGATTCCATCCCAATGATTGGAACTTGCATTGTTCACTTGTTATCAGTGATTTAAAAGGCGCACCTAGGCGCACAGGCGAGGCGCATTTTAGGGTAGGCGCCTCGCCCAGGTCCTAGGCGCAGCCCATTCAAAAGGCACACACCTGGGCTAAGGTGCAAAGCGCACCAGGCGCACGCCTAGAAACACCAAGCGTGCACCTTTTGAATGGGCTGCGCCTAGGACCTGGGCGAGGCACCTACCCTAAAATGCGCCTCGCCTGTGCGCCTAGGCACGCCTTTTAAATCACTGATAACAAGTGAACAATGCAAGTCCTAATCATTGGGATGGAATCTCTACTTTTCTTCTTATTACTAAGTATTGAAAATTTTAATGCCATCTAGAAAACCTCAGTGGCTACTGCCACAATAAAGCAGAGTTCTCTAAAATCCATTCTCTAGATCCAACCTACCCTACTTGTAGCTTTGCAGATCATGTCACAATTAAGCAAATAATCCTCTTGAATCCCCGGGTTGCCAAAGAAAATAAGCAGAAATTTTATGCACTACAACTAACAATTTAAACAAAATCAGAGTTACAGTTTAGATAAATTGAGTTCATTGGCTTCATTGCCAACATGATGCATGTTGACAGCAGGGCATGCAATCTTTGTTTAATTACTGCAACAACCAATATACCACATTCATTTGTATGATCATTAAAATTCTGGAGGTCCCATAGAAAGATGTGATATCATTCCATTAAATCAATTTCCAATTAGGTAAGCCTTCCAATAAGACCCACTAAAAGAAAGTTTTACAATTTTTTTGATAAGTAAGAAAGTTTTACAAACTGAGCCGTGCATATAGTTGTTGTTACAAAATAAATTTAGAATCAACAAATTAGTCAGCAGAAACCTTTCAAAATCCACTCAATGGGAACCCCCATTAAAAGAAAGACTCATAGTTTGGGGCCCCAGGCCTTGCATATATCTGTCATTAATGAAATATGTTTAGAACCTATGAATTATTCAAAGTAAATCTTTCTGAATAAAAAGTTTTTATTGTTTGGTTCCAAATAAAACAGCCAATGGAATTAATGACATTTCAGAAAACCCTACCAAGACACTTTCATGGAAGAAAGTTTTCTCCTGTCCCAGTAACATGTTTTAAGATGTAATAGTACCTTAGTGACTGAACAACCATAAACCATCAAATGACTTAAAAACATACATGTCAACATGTCTTTAATCAATTGGCAATAATAAGATACCAAATTGGTCCTTTCTGGAATGTTGAAAGAAGCCAATCCTGAAATCTAAAAGGAACTTTAGACCTCCCTCAAAAGAAAGGTCTTGGTAGTTTCTCCTCTATGACAATTGACAATGACAATAGTATAGAGACGGAACTTACAGCATTTTATTTATCAAAAAAAAAAAACTTACAGCATTTGACAGCTGCTCACGAATATAGGCCATTGATCTCAACATTGCACCCAACGTATCTCTGGATACCTGAAACTTCACCTCGGTTTCTCCAGTAGTTGTCTCAGTATCTTGGAGCTGAAACAGAATGAGAACAATGTTTTTACCAAATCAATGGTTCAAGCATCTAAGAGGACATCAAGTATCCAATTTACAGAATTAAGAACCAAAATATTGCACTTCAATTGTGACTGAACAACACTTTATACACTGCAGAGACATGTTTGCACACAGAAAATAATATAGACCAAGGTTCAAAGTATCGTTACGTATCGACCTGTATCGACCAATACATATCGTATCGGGGCGTAGCCGGGACTTAAACCGACCCCTCTGAACCAGTTTTCAAAAAAATAAATAAATAAAACACAAAAAAAGCGCCAATACAGGCTGATACGCCCTTGTATCGATATTTAGAACCTTGATCTAGAGGCATTAAACAAACAAGAAAATGAAAACCTAATGCAATCAATGATTTAAAAGGTGCGCCAAGGCACACAAGGGAGGCGCATTTTAGGGTATGTGCCTCGCCCAGATCCTAGGTGGCACACACCTGGTGCGTCTAGGCATGCGCCTTTTCAAAATTTTGTGCTTTTTATTACTTTTTTTGAGCCTAATGTTGCTAATGTTGTTCATTCATTCATTCCAATAAAATATCTTCTTAAAGGGCAATCAAAATTATAAAATCATTGTTTTTTATGTGAGAAATAAGAATTTAAGACCCTAACATGGACTTGTTCGGGCTTGCCTCGAGGGGCGTGGTACAAAGGTGACTCATAGAATCAAGAAAGCAATATGTTTTACACCACATTAGCTACTTGAAGTAATGCAATTGAGGAAAAAAAAGATTGTGGGTTTCACATGCTTGAAAATGCTTTATATGTTTGCTTTTATTTTTAAATTTTCATTTGAATACGCTTTACATGTTATGTTTATATATTTTAATCTTAGATAATAGGTTTTTTAAAACATTTATGTTAAAATTTAATTTTATATTTTTTATTAATATTTTTGCATTTTTTTATTTTCTATAATTTTTTTGAATTTTCTAACATTTTTTTTTATTTTTTAGCATTTTGTGGTAATTTTGCACCTTGCTTCAAAAAGGCGCACACCTCGCCTTGCGCCTCAGGTGCAAATTGGCCCTTGCACTTTTTTTGCACCTTGCACTTTTAAAACACTAGATGCAATTAAAGTGAACTGTGAAATATTGGAGACAATTGAGTAGGTGGAATAACATTTTTTTTTATAGATAAGTAGGTGGAATAACATTGAAGGAAATAATAACTTCCACATATTAATAACACCATCTTGGATTAGATAATGATATGTCTAACAAAATTGCATCAGAATTTTTTTGAAGTACAATAAAAAAGAAAGACAAGAGCAGGTGATAAGATATCATCTTGGAAGGAAAAGGTCCAATCAAAGATAAAATCCTCCCACCCCAATAACAACTGTTTAAAATGAACCAGTCATCCAAAACAGATTCTCGTGAACTCAAAATAAAGAAACTAAGCCAGACCCTTAAAATAAATAAAAACAGCTCCAATTTATTTTCCATTTTTTCCGAAAAAAAGGACCCCATAAGCACTTCCAATCTATTGTAGCTGAGGCATACCAACCAAAAAAAAGTGGAGTTTTCCCCACAAAATCCACACCAATTCCCACCCAAATTACTCCCCTACCAACAATAAAGAGCTATCTCCTCTACCTTTCTCCAATTCCAAACATTCTTCTAGCAAATTGTTCCCCGTGTAAAAGTAACAAACTGAATTGCTCATCTATCTATCTATCCATCTATAAACCAAATTTCTTAGGATAACCTCTGTAGCAACCACCCTATCTTAATTTGCTTTCTCATTAATTTCATAAATTTTGTCTATTATTATTATTATTTTATAAGCAACAAACCTCATTGATTAAAGATAAAGATAAATAAGATTGCAAAGTTGCTGGATAGGTATCCGGACACCCATATTTTCCATAACAACAATTACAGTTCAGCCCAAAACAATTGATCTCTATGACCCCCCTGTTTAGACATTTAATCTGCCATTCCGTTTGCTATTATCCTATTATCTTATGCTTATTCATCAAGTTCCTCACTTGATAAAACCTCCGCCCTCTTTATTTGCCACATTCTATTTATAATCGGAAATTGACCTTGTTCTACAATTCTTTTTTTTTTCCTTCTTAGATTTTCTTGATGACTTTGATTTCTTTTCTCATCAGTAACTGTTGGCTTTATAAATTTAGGATAAAGAATTCATACATTATAAGTTCCAATACCCCTTTGTATGGCCAGGCAAAGGCCCCCCACCCCTCCTTTCCTTACCATTCGTTCAACTGATGTAGGACCACTTGCTCCAATACCACTTGAATGACCAAAGGATGAGTCTAGGAGGTATAGGATGGGTTTAGAAGTAATAAAGGACAGAGAGAGAGATTGATTAGAGTACAAAAGGTCTACAAACTTGAATGCAAAAACTATAGATTTATCCCAAAATAGTAAAAAAAATGCAAAATAGAAAAATGGTACTACAATAGGAATTTTCTAGTGAAATTTCATAGGTAGGGTTAGGTGGTGTTCAGTAGTGCTGAATTGACCTCTGAACACCAAAATTTTGCTTTTCGGAACTTCAGGGGTCATTCGGTATTACCTCCAAAGTCTCTCTCTAAACTCTAAAAATTCTCTGAATGACTAAGCGGGTCTGCTAATTCTGAATGTGCCCAGAGGTAGCGGACAATTCAGCACTACTGAACAGTTCTATTGTGGTTCTCGTTAGCGAGAACCTCTCCCTTTTGCGGTTCTATGCCTGGTCTGGTTCTCTGAACATTGCTTTTGACTAGAGCATATCATCCACATAGGTCTTCATATTCCTTCCAATCTAGTCTTTGAATAACTTGTTGACCAATATCTGGTAGTTTGCTCCTATGCTCTTCAACCCAAGGGTATCACTATGTAGCAATAGAGGCCCCTCTCAGTGATAAAGGATGTCTTTTTCAATTAGGAGGATGCATCCTGATATAATTAGACCCTGAGAATGTGTCTATGAAGTTCACAACTCATGCCCCGAGGTGACATTGACTAGCTAGTCAATCCTGGGGAGGAGGAAGCTATCTTTCGAGCAAGCTTTGTTTAGATCTATGAAGTATATGAAGCTCACAACTCCTGTCCCGAGGTGGCATTGACTAACTACTAATCTTGGGGAGGGGCAGCTTTTGGGCAGGCTTTGTTTAGATCTATGAAGTCTATGCAGATCCACAATTCCTTGTCAATTTTCCTCACCATAAAAACGTTGGCCAACCAATCCCAGTAGTCAACCTCCCTTATGAAGTCTATTTTATTCAAGTTTGTCTACCTCTTCATTAATGGCTTGCCACCTTTCTAGAGCAAAGTTCCTCTCCTTCTACCAAACAGGCCTAAAGCTCAAGTCCACATTAAGCCTATGAGTTATGACTGAAAGGTCAACCCCCAACATATCTATTGCAGACCATGTGAAGATGTTCATAATATCAACTCGATGGTCATCACTTTGGAGTGATTCAACCTAGATGGTCTTCTCTGCAACATCGCCAAACCGTGGCACATGCACCAACTCTTCAACAAGCTCCCCTTGTGTCATCTACACCTCGCTCCTCAAGTCCAAGCTATCAACAACTAGTGTCTCATGGAACTTTGTCATTCTTCTCAAGGAAACGATGTAGCATTATCGTGCCACGACATGGTTGTTGCCTTCAATTTCACCCATGCAATGGTCAATGAGGAACTTTATCACAAGGTGTTAATGTGGATACAATGGCCCTCATTACATTTAGGTATGATGATGGCATTGTAAGGGAAGTTGACTTTCACCACAAGAAATTCAACCATGATGGTGGTTAGGCGAGGTTCCTCCACAATAGTCAAAGAGAGGGTGATTTCACCCTTAGGTTGCATTGTCTATCTAAAGAAGCCAACCAATGGGATGACAATGAGCTGAGGACAATCCAGGCTAATTTTCATCTATTGATCCCTTTGAAGTCTTCTTTGGAGAATGTAATCACCTCGTTTGACCGCTGACCTCTTCAAGGATCTTTGCTTGATCTTCAACTACCGAGCATAGGCTTTCCACTTTCCACACAGAGGCACTCTCTCCTCCTAAGGTCAGTTCTCCAAATATGACAATTATAACTCCAATTGTAAGTCGATTACATGTGTGTGGTTTGTCTGCTTGGTTGCCAGTTGTAACCTATTTGATTGCCCGAGATGTAATTTCCAAGGTAACCTCATCTTATCAAGCCTTCTATCTGATTCTTCAGGTTGCAATGGTCTTCAATGTCATGGCCATGGTCATAATGGAACCTGTAGTACTTGTTCTGGCTCCTTTTGTTTGGATTCAACCTCAACTTCTGGGCCAACGAGCGTACTCTTTGCCCTGTATTTGCATCAAGATCCAACTCCTCGATGTGTTCAGGGGGTATACTTCTCGAAACCCTAAGGTAGGGGGTCTTCAGTCCCCTAGACAAATCCTCAAACTTATATGACATTTTGTTTTGATTTTCTTTAGGTTTCTACTTGTCATGGCCCTTGTGCTTCTTTTGATTTTCTTTTCTTTTGTGTTTGGGTATTCCATGTTTTGCACGCCAAAAGCCCTAGGTTAGTTGTTCCCCACAGACGACGCTAATTGTTGTTGCCAAGGTTTGCAACAAGGGATAAGATTGAACCACCTAGGGCCCTGATGACTGGCAAGCACAGAAGATGTCAAAGACCTTGAAGTTATTCTTGGGAAGAACTCTCTGATGCTCAAGTCAGACAAAGAGAAAGGATAGATTGATAGAAGGAAAGGCAAAGCTTCACTACAGGAATTATCAAGTGAATGCCTTAGGGTGAGTGCCTTTATAGAGAGGAAGAGTCCTAACCAAAGGAGGGCCAGCATTCCTTGTTCGGCTCAGTTTCCTTATTGGGCACGATTTCCTTGTTCAGTCTAATTTACTTGATGGTCAAGCCTTCTAATCCGGGCTTACCCTTTACTATTCTGCAATATCAGTAATTCTCCAATTACTGATTTAATTTGAGACATAAAAGCTCCTAACCTAGTTACATGGTAGGAACTCACAATCAACTCTTGAAGGTAGCATCTTTAGTGTGGATAGTTTCCTTGGAGAAAGCTCTAACATAAGATAAGCTTATTGCTTGGGGCATAAATCTGAACAAAACATTTGTTATGCTCCCAGACCATGGAAAAGCAAAATGGTTGTTCCTTCATTGCTGGTTTTTATCATGGTTTTGGGCAAATCTTATTTTAGGGAAGTGGTTAAGCATTGTATTGTCACTATTGTGTTTTTCTAAATTGATAATGCAAGTCTTAAATAATTAGCATATAAAGAAGAAGCTAGGTAAAAAGGGAAAGGCTCTGTGAAGACTGTTCCTTTGCAATCATGTAGATGATCTAGGACAAAAAAAAAGAACAGCCATATATTTTGAAGTTGATACCCAGCCAAGAGTAAGTGTTGCTTGTTAGAAAACCAGCGTGATCTATTAGGTTTTATTCACAAACAATTCAGGGACCTAGACTAACACCCAACAGTCCTGAGACAAAGCACCAATAAAGGTGCCCACACCAATAAAGCAATGTAAAATTATGTACTATCAATATGGTAATGTTGGCAATGTAACAATATGTACTACTAGTATGGCAAAAAAAAACTTGGCCACCCTCTACAATTATTCATTCTAACCCTACCCGTGAAATTTCACTAAAACATTTATATCCTAGACCTATTTTTCCCATTTCAAAGGTTTTCCCCATCTTGGGATAAAACACTTTCTACCCTATCCAATCTTTGTTTTTATGCCTAAAATCACCAATAAACACATCCTCCCATCCTAACCCTCCTAAGTCGCCCTTTGTTATCAAGTCCTATTAGTATCGTCTTAAATCACCCTCCCATTCAAGTCCTATGTCAGTTGGTATCAAAGCTGGTTCCTACATCAATTAGTTTCAAAGATAATCGTAATTCACTATGTTCTCACAAAGTGACTGATTTTATAGGTCTTGGGATATCTCTTAAACAATCATATGGGTCTAGAATCAATGATGATCAATTTTCTGAACCATACCAATATTTGTTGGTTGGCTCATTTAAGAAGATAGTAGAAGAAAACAAACAATCAAAAAGGATGGTAGAATTAAAAGAAATATATATATATATATATATGTGTGTGTGTGTGTCAACAACAGGGCTAACGCTACCAAGAATAGAGAAAGGTCAATACCAGATTTCGATCAAGTCCCTATATCTTTTCTACCCTAACCAATCTTTGTTTTTATCCTAAATCAACCTGAAACTCATCCTAACCCTATATATATATATATATATGTGTGTGTGTCAACAACAGGGCTAATGCTACCAAGAATAGAGAAAGGTCAATACCAGATTTCGATCAAGTCCCTATATCTTTTCTACCCTAACCAATCTTTGTTTTTATCCTAAATCAACCTGAAACTCATCCTAACCCTCTTAAACACATCCTTTTGTCATTCAAGTACTACATTAGTTGGTAAATCTTACCAGTCCTACATCAACATGCTTAACTCGGAAATCTATCAGAAGACATCGGCATCATTGAGGTTGTTAGCCTTCAGACCATTGATGGCCTTTCATCATATAATCAGAAGGATTAGGGCATCTAAGCACTCTTGTAATCTCATAATGAATGAACTCTTCTAACTGGTTGCTCATCAAAATATACATTTCATTTTATATTTTGGCATGCCTTGAGCTCTTATCTAGACGCGTTAAGTACCTCATGTACTGATACATTTACACATTACAGATAATCAATAATGTAAATCTATCCAAAATGTTCCTTTTGTATGATCTGAATTTAAGATTTTAGGCATCACAAATCAATGGAATTGGATAACTAATCCAACAAAAAAAACTGAATTATTCTCTGAACAGTCAAAAAACAAAGATTGGATTCTGTTCAAATGATGTATTTAGCTAATGATTAGAGCATCCAATAAAGTTTTTTTCTTTCTTTTTTTATTGGAGCTCTTGCATGGGGTGTACCACTTCTCTAAAGTCACGGAATAGATACTAAAATACCTATAGTAATCCAAAGTCCAAACACACATATCAATTATGTATTATGTTCATGATGGATGGACAATAAACACTAAGTCTTTAAATTACCAATAGGTAAAATGTATTTATCAAATGAAAGTAAGTAAATCAATTATAAAAAAAAATGAAAGTAAGTAAATCAATTATAAAAAAAAATTAAAGTAAGTAAATCAATTCCCCCGAGGAGAGGAAGAATGGAAATCACAGTCCAAGTACTGGCAATAATATTTACAACAATGAAGAAAAGATTAAAGAAAAGGCTTAGGATGGCTGTAGCATTAGGAAATATGTATTTCTAATGGGAATTTGAAGGAGTATACAGATTGTTGGTAAAGTCTAGGAATAGTTTGAGCCTTTGAGGGCTGAAATTAAGAATAGGTTGCTCAGTTTAGGCATCTATAGAGGTGAAATCAGGTAATGATCAGAAGGATTGAAGTTACGGGTCAAGTAAAACTAGACAAAGGTTATCATAAAGGGAAAGGATCCTAAAGTTTAAGAAGGTATTAGGTGTAGTCAAGTAGGCCTTTTACCAAGCTATTTAGGAAAGACAAGTAAAAGGATGACCTGTCCAAGTATTGAATAATTCCAGAACAGCAATTTAGAAAAACATCAAGGAGACAATAAACAGAAGAAGGAACAAAGAAGTTAATCTTACTGGAAGCAAAATTTGTGAAAATTAATTTAATATATAATGTGGAGATCTAGAATGAATTCTTTTACAAATTGCATTCAATAAGAATAACAATGGACACTCTTGATATTAAATTGCCAAAACACACCATAAAATTATAAAAGATGGAAGAATTAAAACAAAATTCCGAAAAACCTATATATTCAAACCTTCAGATTGATAACAGCAACCCTATTAGCAGGTGTTGAGAGCTGCTCGCTGATGTAAGCCATAGATCTCAACATTGGTTCTAGTGTGACCCTTGAAAGTTGAAATTTTACTTCTGTTTCTCCAGAAGGAGTCTTGCTATAATCTTGCAACTGCATGGACAAAATAATAAAACAGGAACAAGCATGACCAAAAGTAGCTAAAAAAACATTTCATCAGTTTTGTCTGCTACAACCCACACAATTTTTTTTTCTTTCCTGATCCGTAAAACCTACTAGTTAATAAAACAATAAGACCAGAATCCATAACAAAATTGATTGAATGGATTTACCAGTGTAACCAAAAATCCAATTTAGTCTGTGAATGCAAATTTTCAAAAACCAGTTCCGGTTTGTTTTTATTGATGTAAAATCAGATCAAATTAACATTTTAAGGTGGCTAAGTATTCAAGTGAGAAAAAAAAAAAACAACAATTTGCATATGGAAATTAGTTGGAAAAAAATGCACACCTTCAAATTTATAACAGCTACCCTATTAGCCAGAGAGTTCTTATTCTCCATGACCCAAGTCATTGATTTGAGGCAAGGAAGCACAACCTAAGTGAACAAAAGAGAGATTTAGAGAAAGCAAACCAGGAAAGAAGAAACAATTAATCATAGTTAATTATGATGTTAATTTTGCAATCCAAAAAAAAAATATCCATGCATACCATGTTATCAGAAGGACCATCGTCCCGATGAAGAGAGACAGGGGCCATCCTTGGTAGATTCAAGTCTGCAACAGGTGGAGTAGGGGCACCAGTATCATTAAGATTAAAGTGACGGGTCACATCATCTTGTCGAGGCCACAATGATGGAGTCATCTCTGTAGGTGGTATAGGTGTTCTCCGGCTAATTTCATCCTGGTTACTTCCAATGACCTGAGAGCTAGGAGGTGCAACTCTTGCAACATTTTTCTTCACAACAGAAACTTTCTTTCCACCCTCTCTTAGAGAATTCATTGCCACATTGTAAGTCTCTACAGCTATTGCTCCTTCCTCAGCATATCTAATGGCTTCCCGGCACAGATTGTTGTATCGGACTGTTAGAGTTTCATGACCTTGCAGTTCACCATTGCGTTCATCTGAACCAACCCAGCTCTTGGCATTTCTTGTCCACCTCTTCAATATATAATGAGCTGGAAGTGTAAGAACATTTGTCACAGTGAAGACCGTCAATACATGCCTACAGAGAATGCCTGAGAACTCAAACATATGACAGCTGCAACTTGCTCTCATCTCAGGAACATTCAATGTGACAATGTATGCCTTGTTGTCATCTTCAAACTTCGCCACCCTGTATGTGCTGATTGCCCCATCACCCTCGATTTTATTTGCAGTATAGACAAAAGTTTCAACCAATTCATCTTGAAACTTTGCAAATATTTTCCTGGTGTAAAGGTTTGCAGCTTGTTTTTCCATTGGCGATGGTGTCTTCAATACTGGGGTTGTACAAATTGTGTCAAAATCTGCTTCTAATTCTTTGTCAAACCAATTCTCAAGAGCTCTTTCATACTGCTTAAAGAACAATGGTAAAGTGGTCTGCTGATTCACATATCCATCAAAGAATGAGCTAATAGTTTCAACACCATGGCTTGAATTAATTGCAGCAAAGAAAGTGTCACGAAAATATACTGGGACCCAATGTTGGCGGGCATTATACAATGCTTGAAGCCATTCATTTCTCCTGAGATCATATCTGTCAAGGAGAGCACCCCAAGCAGATTCAAACTCCTCAATTGTCTCTGTCAAGTTGATGCAATTATAGAGCTCTCCTTGGAATGTGGGATGAGCATGGCATACATGAGCCAGCCTTTCCTGGCCTTCTCTTAAGATATGCCACTTGCAAATACAGTGCCGAGTTTCTGGAAAGACCTGTGCAACTGCTGTTTGTATTGCTCTGTCTTGATCAGTGGTTATAGAAACAGGAGGACGATCACCCATTGCTGCAAGCCATGTCTTGAACAGCCAAATGAAGGACGACTCAGACTCATCTAAAAGTAAAGCGCAACCAAAGAGCACCATTTGTCCATGATGGTTCACTCCTGTGAATGGTGCAAATGGCACCCGATATTGATTGGGCCTGTACATTGTGTCAAAGGTGACTGCATCACCAAAGTGACTATATGCAGCCCTTGACCTTGAATCTGCCCAAAACACATTAGTCATGCGGTTCTCTTCATCAAGTTGTATTGCATAGTAAAATCCAGGGTTTTCAGCCTGCATTCTCTTAAAATAGTCAAGGAGATTCTGAGCATCTCTTCCAAGGGTCCTCCTTCGGCTTGCTCTAACATAATTTACAGGCCCAACATTCCTAACTGGGCGATTTGATTCAATGGGAGCAACATTCCTATTTGGACGTGTTGTTTCTACAGATACACGATTTCCATCCATAGAGACATACATAACACCACTTGGTAGAATCTGCACCCCTTGGTAACCTTCCTTCCCTGCACCAGCAAAATGCCTGCGGGGCCGGAGGTAATGCACCTTACTGGGACTCACTGTAGAGTGGTTATGCTCCTTGACAAACTTTGTCACAACCCACTTGTCTGGGTCCTTTCTTTCAATCTTAAGCATCGCACTACAGCTCTCAATATTCTTCCTTTTCAAACTCTCCCTAGAACATACAAACTCCCGAGATGTAATTGTTCCATCAGGCTTTGAACGGTTGCATTGACCAACACGGGTGCTGAAACCAATACGCCTGGCATATGCATCATAGAATGCCTTTGCAGAATCTTCTGATTCAAACTCCATACCAACATGGGGTTCACCACTTCCATCCTCCTCTTGAGAGGGTGCCTCTTTCTCTGTAGAATTTTCATTCATTTTCATTTCTCCACTCTCATTTGGCTCAGAATCTGCATCTTCTGCTGCTGCACGGCGTGCCATATTCTCCTCTTCCACGTCAATCACTTCAACATCCATGCTCATCAACTACACAAGTTCAAATCCTGTGTCCAACTCTATGGACAGACTACAAATGATTAACTTTCATGTTTTTCAGACCTAACAACCGACTCAATCTGCATAGAATGCCAAACAGTAGAAGTTAAAGCTATAACTACATGTTTCATAGAATGCCAAATAGCTACACCAAAATGCATAACACCCACCAAGAAAATTCAAAGTAGAAAATATTAAAAAGCTAAAACAATGGAGAAAATAAAAGTCTCAAAATCATAAATAATAAAAATGAAAAAATAACCAGGGATCAATACACACAAACACCCAGCAACAGAAAATTCAAAATATACCTATGGAGCACTAAAATGGAAGAGCAACGAAGGTCTTAAAATCCAAATCAAATAAAGCCATTTCTCAAAATAATAAGAGAATAGAAACTGCCATTTGTCAATATAGACAAACACCTACTAAGGGAAACTTTAAAAAACAAAGGGGTTATCATGGGGAAATTAATTCCCAAAAAACAACCACAAGAGTAAACCTTTGCAAAATAACCAAAAAAAAAAGGAAAATAATACAGTTTGAAATTAAATCAAATGAGACTACTTATTCAAATAATAAAAGCAAAATTACCATATTTTCAAGAAAAAAAGCAAATGATTGAAAATCAACAAAGAATGTAGTTTATGGACACTTTGCTATCTAAGTGAAATTGCTGTACCACTGCAAAAAAAAAAAGAAAAAAAAACGGTAACAGTAATAATGATAACTGGAAACTATAAATTATCAAACCAATTGCTTAATTTATCAACCAAAGTAGAAAAATAATGAAAGAAAACAATAACATCACTACATTTAACGAACAAGGAGACCAGAACAGTTCATAAAAATCAACTACTGATTGTCTCAACAGTAACACCAGTTCCACATCAAAGGAAAATCATTTGAACAAAAAAATAGGAAAAAAAATAAGAAAGAGACAGAGAGAACATCTGACCTGTGATGTGATCGAAACAGGAGTGAGTCCTTATCAGATCCTTGACGCACGAAACACACTGAAACAAAACCTCAGCCAAACAGTAACAGGTTCTTCCCACGGTTCCCTACCCAGATTTTCTACCAGACAGAAGAAACAAGGGAGCTCCTCCGGGCATCTCCTTCCTAGGGTTTCTCAAACAAGTTGCAGAGACAAAAACTGTAATTTTAGGGTTATTTCCCCTTTTGACATAGGAAGATCTGATGGACAGGATGGATTCAGGTGAAATTTCTAGGGTTACTAGGGTTTTTTTCCCCTTTTTCTGATCATATTTTTGGGCTATTACAGAGACGGAGAGGGAGAGGACGAGGAGGACGAGGAGGACGAGGAGCAGTGGAGACGGGAGCAGGAAAGCGAAATGGTGTGCGTGACGCTTAGGTCCAAGATGACATAAAGCTGATGCCTATCCTAAGCCGTACGATTAGGATCATACGGCTGAACTGCCACGAGGGCAACCCATCCTATGGTTTCTCAAATCGAAGCTAGCCTGTGGGCCCCACGGTACATCATCTAATGATGCGACAACCGAAGAAAGGCTCTCCTCCCTCTCCCCCCCCCCTGCGCCCTGCCTCTCTCCCACTGTGAAGTATGTGGTTTATCTCTGCATAACACTGTGCAGGGCGCAGCTGGGGTGCCTATGAAGGACATGATCACCTGCAGCCTGTCCTAGATAAATAATTTACGCCAAATCATCTAACGGCTAATACGAGTCTGGAGAAAATTCAAAGGGTGCACGCATTTTTACTGAGACGTACGTGATCGTGTTTGAATTGAATCCGGATCACCTGCCAACAAAATTCGTTCCAATACCCATGTCAGATCAAGTTGGTAGGGTGTTGGAACGTGTTATGTTGGCAGGAGATCCCGATTGGAAGGGATTTGCAGAAGGCAATGATACTATGTTACCGTCTCTACATCAAATAATATACTTATATTATCTAACGAAGATTACTGCTGGACACGCATCTAAAGGAATACATTCCAAAAATCGGATTTCCCCTCTGTGAATTTTGAATTTTGAGGTAACTCAGCAGTGTAGCGGCACGTGCGCAAATAAGAGTGAAGAGGTTGATGAATTGGGAAATGGGATTTCCCCGTTCGTGTGATCTTGCCCGTTGATTTGGTAAAGGACCTCGAGGATACCTTTTTAAAGACTAAAGTAAAGTTGACTCCTTGTTATTATCTTACATTGAGTTGTTGACACTCATCTCGAACGATGATTCCAAATCAAAAGTTGAAATAAGTGATTCGAATTATGATCCAACAACGGTGCCACGGCGATAGTAAGCAATAACAATACAATGGGTGGTATCTTGGTTTTCACCGTCCCGTCAGGTGAGACAGCACGTGATTCAGAAAGTACTGATCAATGTAGGAACCGATGGATTGGAACCCGATATTGGATTTATGTGCTGCGTAAGCAGATCGGTGTCACGTGATGCAATTGAACCGGCTGTGTCAGTACGTCCGCGTGTAAGCACGTTCCCTCTGCTCTGAGACGGTTTTCTTTGTTGACGAGCTGAAAACAGTGTTGTTGAGTTTTGAGTCATTTGACCAGAGCAGAGTACAACAGCATGAGTTCATATACTTCTGAAGAAACGGATAAGGACTTTACAAAATGGGGCTCGACTTTTTGCATTGACCATGCTGCTCAAATGAAGATGGATCCCATCGCATTCCACTTCTTTGACTCTTGTGGATATGATGATCAGTCGAGATGCTGATCTAACGTTCTTAAATTAGGTAAAAACTGCAAATTGTGCATGTTGATTATCACACGGTCAATTAAACAACAAAAATTTCTAAGACCACTAAGCACCACATCAGACAACCCATATATGAGTCCAACACAATGCCAACGTCATCCGACACCATGCATCTCATACAAGATGGGTCCCATTTTTATGATGAATCCACCTCCCAATCCCAAAATGAGCATGTTGGTAAGGTGTTGAAACGTGCATTGTTTGGTAGGACATGCCAACTCCATAGATATTCAATTTGAACCACATGAGCTTGGAGAAAGCAATAATGTGAGTAAGGTTTAGCTGAATACCTTGGTTATTTAGCGGGTTGTGAAACCAATGATAAGGTTAGACGTCAAGAATTTGCACATTTTATATTGGGACAGTCAATTTATTACCGATAAAGAGCCTTATTATTGATTTTACAACTCGTGAAAACAGTTAAAACGTTCAGCTAATCCATATTTGTTTTGAAAATGGAATCGCCTTTATTTGTTTTGGTTGAGATAAATATAAATACAATGAATCGGTCATGGACCGATTGAGTAGGATTAATCAGAATCGAGACCTACCTTCATAGATCCTAAATATTATTCATTTAGAACATGACACAAATCTCGACTTTATTTAAAAGTTGAAAACTATAGAATAGCTAGAAACATTTCATTATGACCGCAGGGATCTTTGATTCATGTTAGTCATGGTCTTCATGTTTTATCTTTTTAAATAATACAATCCGCGTATGTTCCATATGTCAAATTCCAAAACCAGTAAAATGGTCTTTGTTTAATACAATTTCTAATAGTTTTTCCAAATAAATAACATGGTTCGCTGATGTAAACATGACTTTAAGCTTTGTTTGATTAGTGAGAAAATTGGGATGAGAAAAAGAAAATTTATTTCTTCAATAAGCCATAATGTGTTTGTTTGTTGAGAAAATTCATTTTACAATGTTTATTTTACAAGAAAATTTATACCAGAAAGCCATTCCAATAAATTGTTCAACTATGAACATAAATGTAATTTACTTCTATGATAACATGGTGCAAGTATGACAGCTTGCATCTGCAAAGGTATGATACATGCGATTAAACTTGCCATGTGGCATGATAGTGATTTTAAATTTGTTCATTCATCAATGAATCAATCCATACATTCATGAAACAATGTATACATCCATTCATCGAAAATTTTACTAAAAGCTAAAAATGCTCAACTATATATTTAGATTTGTCCATTCATCGAATAACCTATTCATACATTAAAAAAACATGTTCATGCATCCATCCAAAATTTTGTTAGGAGCTAAAAGTGTTCCAACATTTGGACCTATTCATGCATTCAATAACCTAGTTCATCTAAAAAATCATACATATATCAATAATCAAATGATTTTGTCTTTAGCATGTAATTCGTTCATTCAATGCCACTAGTTCAGCATGTTCACATAATCATCCATATGCCAATAATTTCATTAAGGTAAAATATAACTATATATTCCACTTAATACAAATATAGTTTAATAATCATAAAAAAAGATTGATCATCACAAAAAAAGGACAATCATCAAATTGGCTCTACATCCCAAAAAAAAACAAGCAAACTGTATATAAAGGTCCAACCATCAAAACAAGTTCTTATCATATGTAGATAATTAGTACATAGTTTGTTAATAAATGTTAGTTATAATAATTAAAGTCTTTCATTTCTCCCTTCAATACGGAGGCCCTAACTTCATTTGAAGCCATGCCTTCCTCTGATGTGGCTCCACTCCATAACATGTCAAAACTTGACTTTCAAACTCAGATGATAAGTCATATGCTTTCATAAAAAAGGCCATTGAACATCCTTATACGCTCATAACATCTGCATATACCTTCTCATTGCTAAATAAACAAAACCCTCTTTCAACTACATATACAAATTTTCCAATATTGTTCAACAACAATTAGGGTGAACATTCAGTTAAAAAAAATGAATGGAATAAACTTAATTAAAAAATAAAAATCGAAATATAGAAAAGCCAAAATCAAAATTTTTGGTTACTTTGATTAAATACTATATATACTATATGTTATATATTATAACATATACTAATATATATATATATTATGAAATCAAAGTTTGGTTAATTCAATTTTTCGTTTAACCGAATTTATAATTCTAAAAACTAAAACCAAAATAACCAAACCGAAAAAACTGAAACCAAAATTTCCAATTTAGATTTTCGGTTTTAACCAAATAATGCTCACACTACAATAAAATTGTCTATACCGACGGTTACTTTGTATAGATGTTCATATACCGACGGATCAGTAGGCGTCGGTATAGCTTAAAAGTGAAAACGAAGAAAAATAGCAAGTGATCCTCCGGCTCCCCCGCGCATTTTCCTTCCCGCGCGCCCTCTTTGTCTCTCTCCTCTCCCATTCGTCTCTCTCTCTCTCTCTCTCGTTCACTATCTCAATCGTCTGTCTCTCAGTCCTCTCTCTCTCTCGTTCTCTCAGTCCTCTCTCTCTCTCTCTTAGTCCTCTCTCCCTTGCGCGCTCTCTCTCTTTGTCGAGCTCTCACTCTGAAGCTCTGCAGAACTCTACGAAAGTAATAAGCAAAGTAGCATACTTGATGTTCACATAAAGTCGCACATCAGCATTTGGCAAGTATTTCTTTCACACATCGGCGGAATTTTATTGAGGTAAAAATCCCTTTCTCTGATTTTTAGGTTTTTTTCTTGTTTGAAAAAATAAACTGTTGTTTTCTAGTGTTAATGGTGCCATGTAACCAGAAAAATAATTTCTCTACATGGTCTGCTTCCTGAGTTTTGTGGAAGAGTGACGCTAGGAGTTTCAAAAATGGTTCATGGGAAAGTTCAAAACAATGCAATCCTAAATGACAAATTGAGTCTTTTTCCCTGTAGATCTAAAACTTGTTTTTACCTTTTTAATTGATTCATCACCTTTTTTAGGTTAATATCTATTGTTCCATTACTTGGTAAATTTTCATAGTGGTTATTGACATATTCACATCTTGGTTTGAAGCATTGTCTGCAACTTTAACTTTAGTTTCATTGCTCCACTACATTGTTCCAGCTTGTAGAACATTAATCATAGATTGGTCAAGAACTGGGAAACACTCTTCGGAAACAACTTCAGCCCCTTTCTTGTAATACCATGCTAAAGGTTTTGGATTCCTTAATGTTAGATCAAGCCAAATTTCCCTTTGTAGAACCATTGGCTCTTCAATGTCTTCCCTTGTAGGAAATTTTGGCGTTTGTTTTTTCCCCTCCATTAGATATTTTAGCTCTGATAGAAAGTGCTTTAGAAAACCCCTTCCTTTTTTCCAATTATTCACACATTGGTTCAAATTACCACATGTTTAGCAAGTTGCAGGAGTGTGTGGTTCTGTTTGCTGTTAGTGAATCTGGACCCATGGGATTGCCAATTATCAATGAACCAAAGCCCATAGAATCTACAACCAGACAGACCCATAAATTAAAAATGATGGAAACCACAAAGACTTTTGCTTGTTTAGCTGGAATTAATAAAAAGTCTGAAGTTATTTTTTTTTTCTATAAATAAAGCCTGAAGGAATTATTACCAAACTGGAAGCAGATCACAAAGCGGCATGCTTGTTTGACTTAAACTTACCCTCAGCTTGCTTTTTCTAGACTTGGCTTAAACTTAGCCATCAAAAATGTTGCATAGAACTTAGGCTTTGTTTGATTTATGGGATGGGAAGAGAACAAGGATTACTCTTGAATATTCTTCCATGAGATGACATGGGAAAAAGCTAGGATTACATTTCTTAATTCTTTGGAAGTGGAATCACACCATTTTGGTGTTAAAATGTGGGAAAGGAGGGGGAGACTTGTCTCACATGAAAAACTAATGATGTTCCATTTTGCAATCTCTTTAGCACTTGTTCCCCCAATCCATTTTTGTATAAAATAGCAAAATAATAGGTTTAGATAATTTAGAAAGCCTGATAAAATGACCACTATCATATGAGGTTAACTTCAGTCTTCGCTTATTCCCAAAAGAAATAAACAAAGAAAAATATGAAAGTCAACCTTTCTGTTTAAGGACCAAATACAACTCTTATTAGGCACTCAACACACATCGACTTGTATAGAAGTCAATCCTCTTGGGTTAGGGTTGGGCCAGTCTTAATGGCATTTTGGTTCAGGTTCAACCATATAGGTTGAGATAAATCCATCAGCCTTGATTGAGTATTAGTGTTAAGACACTATTCCCAAACCTGAAAACAGACATTACATTCAATTTAGGCAGAATCTTCTCTCCCTACAAACATTTGATGACTGATTATCATGGAGCTTGGTCAATACAAAAAATTGCTCTTAGAGTCACAATTATGGTTTGCTAAAGCATCAACCACCCGACTGCATTCCACATAAGCATGGCTAAGATTACCGGGCACCTTGCTTCTGAGCTCCAATATCTTTTCCCTTCATCATCCAAAACAGAACCTCTGAATCCAATTCCACCCAATCTCTAACCAATCAAAGATCATCACATAGCCTCAAATTAACCTTCAACAAGAGTGTTAGAAATAATGCCATAGAAATGAAAGAAGGCCATGACCATGAGCATATCATCATTTGCATCCCAGATGATCGCACGACCACCTCTCACAGCCCCACCTGTATTGAATTTAAAACCAAGACTTCTTGGTTTAGTCCACTTCACCACCTTTAGTCTGTGGTGGCGCAAAGACACCGCACACCTCCGGCTCATGTCTGTGGTGACGGTTTCATTAAGAATATAATAAAATAATAAGTCTTAATGATGTGACACTAATAGAACCAAAATAAATTTAGAAAATTAGAATTGGGTGTCACTTAATAGTACAGTTTGGGCTCCCAAATGCCAAGGACAATTAAAGAGTCGAATATCAAACAAGTCATCTTATGTTCCAATCTTTCCCTCAAAATGCTAAGGTTGGACCTAGGGTCTTGGGTATGTTTCTGCTCTCTTGCACTAATATGGATCCCACTAGGCCACACTGCAAACTAGACCCACCTACAGTAAAACTACAAGGCAGACACCCCCTATTCCCTATTTCCATTAAACCAGCAGCCTCCTTGGAAAAGGTTGTGCATAACCCTTTCCATCAAACAGAAGATTCTTGAGTTTGGTGTGGTCTCAAGCCTCATGCATTTTGATCCAACCTAGGCTACAGAAGATATATCACCAGATGTTGGTTCAGGCTACTGAGTTTTGGAATGAATGGACCCAATACAGAACTAATCTTCAGCATCTTTTACACAGGTTGGCTGCTGCCCTACTCTAGACTTGAATCCTCTTTCTCCTACTTGCTAGGCTGAGATTTTACCATTGCATATGGATCACAAATTGTAGCTTAGGTGTAAACTTTTCAATAACAAGGGAATTTGTTAAGAAGTTCAAGCATACTCTTGAACTTGAAAATACTCTAGTTTGGCCCCACTGCCCCAGTAATGGAGGGTTTGCTAGTCAGCTTGTTTAGTCACTTAAGAAAACCTCTCTAAATGACTTTCATATCTTCCACACGGGTATAATTGAATGGAATCGAAGTATATCTAGTACAAGATTATCAATCAAAAAGATATAATATAAGGTTGGGTATAGGCTGACACTGATCTGGACTGCAGGGTTGCGCACATGGCTTATTAGAAAGGGCAGCCCAGTGCACGAGGCTCCTGGCAAGCAAGGTTTGGCCCCGGATCTAAGTCCACAAGCTCCAAGGCATGTTCTATATGAAAGTCCACTAGTTATTTGAATTTTGAAAGGTAGTAAAATTTTGTTAGGCTTCCAAAACATGTGATTCAATGGTAGTAAAATTTATTAATTTATTACTAACCTTACCAATGGATAACCTTTTACCATCCTTGTTTATTTCAGTTTACTCCCATCAAATGGATAAAAAGTGGATAAGCGATCAATCAAGACAAAGTGAAGAATACATTAGAGGGGTTTCTAATTTTCTCAATTTTGCATTTGAGAGGTCATCTAAAGATGGGAAAATCTTGTGTCCTTGTCTCAAATGCATCAATCTACGTTGGCATAGTAGGGCAGATGTTTCTAGTCATCTAATCTTTAATGGCTTTTTCAAAGGTTATGTTCAATGGATTTTTCATGGAGAGAATTCGAGTGCTTCTACTTATACTAGTGGCCTTACAGAGCAAGAGGGCAGGTTTCAACATGACATACCTGGTTTATTACAATGCATACAGTGGATGAGGGTCGAGATGTCAATATGGAAGGAGAGAGTGCACAGGAGATCATGGAAGAACAAGGTGTTCGACAACCTAGAGGGGGGAGCACTATAGATAGGTTTTATGAGCTAATGAAATATGTTGAACAAAATCTCTACCCAGATTGCACAAAGTACACAAAGTTGTCATTCATTGTGCATTTGTACCACATAAAATGTCTTCATGCATGGAGCAACAAATCATTCTCTATGTTGTTGGAGCTACTAAGAGATGCATTGACAGATGGGAATACCTTACCAGAGTCATATTATGATACAAAGAAGCTCATCTCGGGTTTAGGTTTGGGGTATGAAAAGATCCATGCTTGTCCTGGTGATTGCATGTTGTATTGAAAGGATAAGGCCAATGACGAATCATGTTCTGAGTGTGGGCACTCAAGATGGAAACCAACTACCGAAGATGTAGAATCTAATGAACAGTCTACAACTGGAAAGAGAAAGAAGATACATGCAAAGATCTTGCGTTGGTTTCCCCTAAAACCAATATTACAGACTTTTCATGTCTTGCGAGACTGCTTCCTACATGAGATGGCATGAGGAGGGTCGAACTAAGGATGAACTCTTGAGGCATCCTGCAGACTCCTTAGCTTGGAAAGAATTTGATTCTCGATATCCTGATTTTTCCTTCGACCCTCGTATTGTTCATCTAGGATTAGCTTTTGATGGCTTTAATCCATTCAAGACTATGAGCACTACTTATAGCACATGGCCTGTCATATTAATCCCTTATAATTTTCCTCCATGGATGTGCATGAAGCAGCCATATTTCATACTCTCATTGCTTGTTCCTGGTCCAAGAGGTCCTGCTAATAAGATGGATGTATATATGCAGCCTTTGATAAAAGAATTGGTAGAGATGTGGGAAGTTGGGATTGAGACTTTTGATGCTTTCATAAAGGAAATCTGTCGAGTGCGTGCGACAGTGACGTGGACTATAAATGACTTTCCCGCATGTCTGGATGGAGTACTAAAGGAAAATATTCATGCCCCTCTTGTGGTTTTGAAACTGCCTCTTTATGGCTAAATCATAGCAAAAAATATTGTTACATGTGCCATCGTCGATGGTTAGAGGAAAACCACAAGTTTAGATACAATAGCAAGGCTTTTGATGGAACTGAAGAATTGAGAAGTGCACCTAAGCCTCCTTCAGGTACTATAGTGTTAAGGCAATTGGAGAACCTTGGATCCTCTATTGGAGATGCAAATGCAGATGGGCCACAACCATGGAAGAAGAGCATTTTGTTTACGTTGTCTTATTGGGAACATCACCTATTGCGCCACAATATTGATGTCATGCATATAGAAAAAAATGTTTGTGATAATATTCTTGGCACGTTGTTGAATCAGAAGAAGAAAACAAAGGATAACTACAAAGCACGACTTGACCTTGAAGATATGGGCATAAGAAGTGTACTTCATCTAAAGACACGTCCTGGTAGTAATACCAAATTCTTGTCTAGAGCTTGTTATCAAATGACTTCAAAAGAGAAAGAAGATTTTTTGAAAATTCTCAAGAATGTAAGAGCTCCTGATGAATATTCTTGTAATATTTCACGTTGCATGCAACTCAAACAACGCAAGATCATAGGCCTCAAAAGTTATGATTGTCATGTTTTGATGCAAGAGCTTCTTTCTATAGCCATAAAGGGGTCTTTGCCTAATAAAGTGAGTTCAGTTATAATTGAATTATGTCGCTTTTTCAAGGAAATTTGTTCAAAGGTTCTTAATTTACATGATCTTGAGCGACTTGAATCTCAGGTTGCTGTCACACTTTGCCAGATGGAGAAGATCTTCCCTCCATCTTTTTTCACTGTTATGGTACATTTGATAATTCATTTAGCTTCTGAGGCTAAAGTTGGTGGTCCGATACATTACCGATGGATGTATCTTATTGAGAGGTATAGCTTAGTGCTTCTTATAGTTTCAGTTATACCTTATAATGTTTAAAAATCTGAATTACTTATAACCATTTTTTCAAATTGTGTACATATAGGTACCTTCTTACACTTAAATCCTTTGTGTGTAATAGAGCACATCCAGAGGGTTCGATCGCAGAGGGGTATTTGGCACATGAGTGCTTGAACTTTTGTTTACAATACCTATTGGGAGTTGAGACAAGGTTTAACAGACCTAGGCGAATGATGAACCCAATTGTTATTTAGAAGCAGAGACATCTCTATTACATACTCCTGGAAGACCACTAGGTCAAAAGGGACGACGTGGTTTTAATGTAAGAAATCGAAAAAGGATGCAACGTGTTGTCCTTGACAAAAAAACATTGATACAAGCACACTGATATGTGCTTTTCAATTATGACGTGATTGCCCCATTTCGAGAGTAAGTATAATTCATGATTTTTTCCTCTTCTTGTTGTTGCTTAGGAGTATAAATAATCTTTGGATTTACTTTCTTTCGTGGCATGTTAAATGTAGACAACATGCTTTGGTTATTAAGAGGCAAACTCGTGGACGTCACATATCACAGTATGAAATCGAGAAGATTCAAAGTCAATCTTTTCATGAGTGGTTTCGTGAGAGGGTAAGCATAATTTTAGATGATGTGTTTTTCTACTTAGTTATTACACTTTTAGGTATATACATTAATAATTTATAAAATGTACTAGGTTGCATGAATGGATGAACAAGGGAATGAACAAGTTACTGATGAAATTAGATGGTTAGCTCGTAGTCCAATTGAAGTGGCAAGAAGATACTCTGGCTATATCATTAATAGTTTCAGGTTTCACACAAAACATCGTGAGAGGTTTTTGAAAAGCCAAAACAATGGGGTTGTTGTGACTGTTAAGACTATGAGTTATGCTAGTGCACGGGACAGACGACCTATTGAGGGTGAAATCAATTACTATGGTGCATTGACAAACATTATTCAATTGAATTATTCAAGTAGATATAAGCTTGTGCTATTTAAATGTGATTGGGTTGATATCAATAGAGGTTGCAAGAAAGATAGTTTTGGATTCACACTTATGAATTTCAATCATTTAAAACACACGGGTAATGATGTCACTGATGATCCTTTTGTATTGGCATCACAAGTGAAAAAGGTGTTTTACGTTGAAGATGAGAGTCATAAGGATTGGTTTGTGGTCATGCATGCTAAAGTTAGGGATATGTATGATATGGGTGATGAGTTATGTGTTAACACAGAGCAACCGGTTGAACAAGTTGTAGAAGACACATTTGATGTTATAATCAAAATGAGTGGATTAGGATGGAAGTTGATGATAATGGTGATGATGATGAACTATGCATCGCACCAAATACAGAGGATGAATTAGATGAAGGCAATGAGACAGAGGATGATGGTGAAGAGAATTTCTTTTAATTATGTCACATTCCATTAAATGTTTTCACTACCATGATTTGGGATTCCTTGTACTTGGCTTTACTATAAAAGTGTTTTGGTTTATAATTAGAACTTGTAGTCGTTGTTTGATGATACTCATACTTCTCAAATTGCATTTTGGTGTTTGACTATTTCTACCGGGTTGAGTTAAATAAAAAAACAATGTTTTTTTTCCTCTTTTGATTGGAAAAGCATGTATGGTTTATTTGTATCACATTGACATTTCATTTCTAGTATATTCTTTCTTAGGTCATTTCTGCTTTTATATCATTACCTTATCTTATGTTTTGACAAAAAAATTGAACTGATGGGGAGTTGTTATAAGCCCTTCTCAGTTATCCTTCTCAGTTACACCTTACGGGTTAACTTGGGGAAACGCAAGAGATTGAATATTGTCTCATTGAGTTCCCACGAAAGAGATGAAACTCAACCACAAGGGGGTGAGTCCAATAATGAGGGGCAAACTACCTAGGTTGAGCCCAACAATGAGGGCCAAACCACCCAAGGTAGTGCACTAGTGGATGCATATTCACAAAGGCGGCCAACTAAAGGTATTCTATAATTCTATATATGTTAATTTGACATAAAAATCCTTAGTTTGTTTATTGAGTTATTATAACCCATATACAATTTACACATCTTTCATGTTTTCAGCTCAATACAAGCCTCGAGGTCCCACACGTATGTTAGAGGTGTGGGATATGACGGCGGAGGAGAAGATTGTTGTTCAACTAGATGAAATGGGCCGACCAATTGGTGATGAGGGAAAAACTGGTACAAAAAAAATTTCTCTCTCTCTCTCTCTCTCTCTCTCTCTAAAACAGAGTGATTACAATAAGCAGTGTATCATCCCTGTGGCCTAGATGCAGACCTGGTTCCAATGACCAGTAGAACAGTGGCAGATCTGGTTCCTTTGGCAGTACACCCAGGTCTATGCTAGGCCCTTAGTAGCCCCATCCAAATTCATGGCATTACCTAGGTCACCTATGCTGCACCAATAAAATACTCCCAGATTTTATAGGTTGTCTAGAAATCAGTAGGGATTTATGCCCCTGTCCCTGTGATTTTAAGTTAGGAGGCTGAGAAGTTCTTGTTAGGGTGTCAGTACACCCAGGTCCCTTAAGCTCAGCTACTTGTTGCCTTTGGTTTTGGGCCAGAGAGCAAACATCTCATTGAGCTAACATGGACCATTAAACATAAATCTCTAATGTTCTAAGAGAAATGTATAAAGCCTACATATGGAAGAACAAAATAATTAAGAGGGAAAACAGTAAGGGAATAATAAATAAGAAATGAAGTAAACAGTCAGAATAAGAAAAATTTGTAGAAACCCTAGATCCCAGCATTCTCAATAACAAAGAAACAGGATCATGTGCTCTGCTTGACTTGATCCCGGCGTTCACTTCCTGCGTCACACAACACCACCTGTGTCTGCCACACGGAGGGATCATGTGCTCAATCCAGACCAGTCATAGATGGAAGTTGTTTCTTCTCTTTTTTTAAGAAGAACAAAGTATACTTTTATTAATAAAATTGAAACCCCCGTATAACTAAAGGCTGTACACCTGGAATTTACAAAAAACAAAACCTCAAAGATGAGAAACTATACAACAATATCCTTTGTGTTTACTAAAAGATTATAATAAGCACAAAAAGAAGCAAAATCTGATCTGTTAAACCTGTTCTGCTGTTGTCCAAGAATACATTTTTCCCACTATTTTCTACTAAACCTCCTCATCTGAGCATCCTTTGTTCTGAAAAATTCTAGAGTTTCTTTCCTACCAAATTACCCAAAACACAGCCCCTGGAATCATTTTCCAGAAATTTACCCCTTCTTGATCAAATCATGTAAGTACCAGCCATTTAAGAAACACTCCACAGATGCAGGACAACAACCTCTGACAGCAAAAAACTTGTACACTTTTACCCAGCTGTTGTATACCTGTATGTGAATCTATGATGTATCAACAGGTGATTCACTGGAATTTTCTTTTCATTTCTGCCCTTGTAACCTGCTATGTCCAAAGTCCAAACATAGCCTTGAGGTAATATAGGTAATTTCCATGAAATTATCAAATTTTGCATATGGGGCCACAACATCTACAAGTTAGTCTTGCCATGTCTTATAAATAGAAGTTTAGCATCCAATAAGTCTGACCATATTTTCATTCATTGCAAGATAAGCATGTGTTTATAGAAACATTTTCTCAAGATCTTTTTTAGTGTAGGTGCTTCAAAAGGATGTCAAAGGAAACTCTCGAGTGCTGAAATATAACAAGGATTAGTGAAAAGATGAATTCTTGAGTATTATCATTTCACTTGCTACAATTTGGGTAATATATTTTGGGGGGGTGGGGGATGAAGTAGAATTTTTGAAAACAAAGCATCTCTTATTATTCTTTTGCTTTATATTATGCAACTTGTAGATAAAATCAGTTTTAGTATTTGGGTAATACTTCTTGTACGGGGGCATTAGACAATGTTACTGTAGCATAAATTGGTTTGTTGCTGAATTTCATGTCTAATCAGATATAGTTTTCCCATTCCAAAATGAGCATTGTTAGTGGTTACTTCCAATGCATGGTTTTTTGTTCCTTGTATTAGAATTGCAACCATCTTCACATAAGCATTCATTGATTTCAAGAAAAATATGTGATTGATGTCTACACTCTGCTAGACAAAAGGTGTGCCATTTAGCAAGTAATACCCAAGGAAGAAGGAAGGCTCCATGGGTAGCTAGATGAACAATATTGGACAATAATAATCCTTGAATCACCTTCAAGCAATACCCCATCAGAACTCAGAGAATGGGATCACTTGAGGCTATGCATTGAAGGGATTTTAACTTTATTTGCTCCCTTTAAGTAGGCTTCTGATACATGAATGATTGGAACCCTTTTTCCCTTGTTGTTACCCATGTTACCCAGACACTTCCTAATAGGGCTGTTGCCTGTATTGTGTATTTAAAGTTCTGGTATAAATTCTTGTCCAACACCTTGTTTACCCTCATTTGTTACTAGAAAATTGAAATGCCTGTGAAACCATATCAGTGAGCAACCATGAAAATTGATCTCTGATATTATCTTGGGAACAGGTGATGAATTTCTTAAATAGCATTGTGGGTGGACCAATGAAGGGTCCATTTGTCTATTAGGCGGTCTGCCAACCCCCTGTTGTGTGTGTGCATGCATATATATATATATATATGTCTCTCTGTGTGTGTGTGATACATATTATATTTTTCGATAAGTATGTGATATATATTATATATGTGAACATTAATGATTAAACACCTTATCTACAATTTTAGCAACTACATATTGTTGGTACCACAATTTCAGCATGGGTTTTTCACATATGTGTGACTGTTTTGACAGAATGCTGTCAAGGTTGGAAAATAGTGCAAGAGTTTATGGGCACCTAAGTTTTTTATTTTTGTAAACAATCTCTGTTATCTTGGCCCTGATAGCCTCACAGCCGAAAGGTATGCATCACTATTGCAATCAGATGGTCCTGATGAAGTACCCTCGCTTATTGACTACTGAGGTTCTGATCATTCTGTCAAAATCCACTGTCCAAAATCCCAGAATCAGGTTGAAAGTTTAGGCTACACTATAACTGGTTACAGAGTGCACATTGGATTCGAACCAAATGCCTTGTGGTTGGGGTTTTGGACAGAACTCTAAGGTCTGAACTTCCTGAATCCTAAACAGTCATGAGCCTACAACTTTTAACCTTCTACAACCACTTCAAACCCTGACCTCTTCGGTGCAGTTAACTCAGAGCTTTGTGCTATTGTACTGGAACCCATTTCTTTTACATTATCTCTTTTACAAATTCCAAATGCATATCAAACTCCAGCAGTTTATTTATTGATTTGAAAGTTATAATAATTACCAGTTATTTATTGAATCAGGTAAGCTTCATTTTTCTTCCCTTGCTTCTCATTTTATTCTCTTTGTTTTTATTAATCATTGCTTCTTTCTCTATGTAAATAGTCTTATAGTTTGATTATAGTGTGATCGGGATTTGAGGGGAGGAGAGAGATCCAACGGAACTGGTGAAACCAGTTCTTGTAGGTTCTCAGTCCCAACCCAATACCGTCGTTTACTTTTCGGTGTTGTTATTCACATATGGACTCGTTTTGAGAATAAGACACATCCCAATTGTTGGGAGATCAGATTTGAGTGTCTATGTTTTATATGCTATCGTCCCCTCTAATGGTTAGCAGGTACCCACTAACTTAACTGTGGGTTTTACAGGTACCATGGTAAGAAGGGCCCAATTTGCACCTATCAACTATATAAAATGGAAAGATATGCCCCGGACTTACAAAGATGATATGTGGACAACTGTAGATGTATAAAAGTTGTTTAAGATTATCTCATTTATTTAAGTTTTGACACTCATGATGATAAGTCTGAATTCAGTGTCATTGGTTATAGTCAAAGTTTCAATTTGTGCCTAGATGCACTGAGCAAACAAAAAAGCTACTCCTACAAATTATATCTGACAAGTGGAGGCAATGGAAGAATGAGATAAAGGCAAAGGGGTATGATGAGAGTAAAACGGAAGAAGAATGGCTGCTAATGTTCCAGATGATCGGGTAGATGGAAACTAATATCGTACACTGGTTCATTATTGGTGCTTTGAGGAGGGAAAGGTAGAGTAATTTGTTATATTTATCATGAGTCAATTTAAACATCAGTATTTAACTATTTTTTATTTTGTTATTCTTTTTGTAGAGAGTTAGCCAAATTAATAAAAGTAATCGAGCCAAGCTAGAAGACCTTCACTGCACTGGCACAAAAGGATTCCCTAGGCTCATTGAAGAGAAGGTTAGTTCTACATATTTGCAGTAATGATGATAAATTTTTTGTTCAGTATATATATATTGTTTGAAGTTATTTTACCTTCATGTTGTTAGACAAAAGAGGCCCACGGGGTGGCACCTACTCGTGCACAAATTTATATAGATAGTCGGACATGCAGTGATGGAAGCATTGTCAATGAAAAGGCAGCAGAGATTATTGTAAGTACTTTCTAGTTATGATTGGAGGATATTTGGTATTTATGTAATTTAAGTTCACAATTAAAATTACAGAATATATATAAAAATATATTACAGAAAATATATAAAACTCCAAGCCACCAGGTCAGGCCTGCAAGAAAATGGCTGCCCGGGTAATAGATACATTGTGTGTACAGGAAACATATATTACAGAAAAATATATGTAAAACTCCGGGCCAGCAGGTCAGTCATGCAAGAAAAATGGTTGTTTGGGCCTAGAAATTTCTAGGATGGAACAAGACAGGCTAGGCTATGTGAGACCACACCAAAATGATCAACAATGATCCGAGCCCCTAGATCTGCTTGCTTTCATCTTAAAGGCATTGGTAGCACTGGAAATACCCCCCAACCATCGGATTGGAATTACTGCATAGATAAAGCTGCAAATAAGAAAAAAGATAGAAGCTGGTCCCTTCCCATCTAGTCTGAACATTGTGTCCTTATACAGTCAAACGCAAACTGCTACTCAAAGGGTATCCCTTGTTTCTCACATATCTTTCCAAGAAGACCCCCAATCCACCCTGTCCAACCATAAATCAAGAACTTCAATTAGGGGTAATGTGATGGCAATATCCAAGAATATTCAATTCTTCACTCTTCTCCCATCCATCCTTAGGCGGCAGCTGTAAAGGTTCTCTTGAGCCTCTTTGGACAGAAGGTATCATGGGAGTTACTTTGAAAATCTGATGGGAAATTGGAATGGGTATCGTCGTATTTCAGCTTCTGATGCATCTGAATCTGAGGTCCATCTCCTTCATGTTGACCTCCGGATTGCTCAATCCACACAGGCTACCTCTGTTCTGGTGGAGGGTGATTTCAGGAATAAGATAGGTTGGTCCAATAATATAGGGACTGGCCTGTGGAGGCTTGCTCGCTTCCTCTATGAAATCTTGAACTGTCTGCTTCCTTAAACTGCATCCTTAGATGGATCCCCAGGGAATTAAATGAAACAGCAGATGCTTTAGCTGGATCTGGCTTGGGAAGGGATATTTTGTATAGTGAAATGCCTTAACTATTTCTTCATAGGCTGCTTTTTGTTGTTTTAACCTATTTATTTGTAAATTTTCTGATGTATCCTTGCCCCTTTTTTAACTTTTTTTTTTTCAAAAAAAGAAATAAAGGTTGTGCAAATTAATGTGTTTTAGAATTGCAAGTTTCAAAACTTGAACACCACCACACCTAAGACCAAATTTCTTAAAACTCGGCCTTCCATTAAATCCAATGGATAACCCTATACAACCCATCATGAAGTGTGCTGCTATCATTCATTAAAAGGATCACATTGCATTTTGTCCCATGACTCACATTACCCCTAAGATATGACTGAAAGTCAGAGATATACACTCTTCCAAGAACATGATTTCAATAGTTGTCTCTACTGTAAAAGCTGAATAACTGAAAAACTAAAGGAATGAAACTACTTTGCAATAAAAGTTGAATAAGTAGTCCAGTTGCAAGTGCACATATTCAATTAGGTCCCAAGTGCAAATATTTTCAGTAGGTAATAGTTGAATAAGTTTTGCTACTAATCTATTCTACATATTATGGTATTTAAATAATTCTTCCTGATCATCCATCAGTTTATTTGTTAATCAGTTGGGAGTGTCTATTGGTCTTATGACAGAGGTTTACTTCCCGGTTTCAATATAAACTCCAGTCTCTATGAGAATGTAATTAGTCAATGGAAGTTCATAAGGCTGTTAACATGAGAAACTAATGATAAAAATATGATAGAATAAGCATTAGAAGCCACTAACTGAAACTAACATATATGAATGTATTTAGGCTGTTATTATTTGCCTATCTGCATGGCTGCACCTTTTTGTGTCCAATAATATCTGATTCCCCCCATCATTTATTCAAGGCACCATTCTATACTCATCACCAGATGGCAAGAGCATGCATTTGTAGTGTACTTTGAGAATAAAGCCAAAAACGGAGATCTTGTGGGATCAATATCATGTCTCTATACCTGGTGCTCTACTTGATGACCTGCTATAAATTATCTGAGGACTATTTCAAATAGGTCAGTCTCAAATTCCTCATAGACATATCCTGCCATGCTATCACCATTGTTATTGCTATTCTTGGTAGTACTTCGATTAAACCAGTCAGAATCAATCCTCCCCATGGAGAAGATCTCTCGGCTGTCCTAATAACCCGGAGCATTGGCGAGGGAGCCAATAAAACATGGGCTGGGAGTCCTCATTTGCAGGTGCATACTTGAAAGCACTTTGTCCAAAATTTACCAGAACAGTTACTTCCATATTTGTGGCCAAAGTGGGGTAAAGCGGGCTGGAAAACTCCTCGGATTTGCAATGGATTAGGTGCACCAGTTCCGAATCCACTGTGAAGAACACCTTCCTTTGACCCGGATCAAACCCACAATCAGTCACTCTGTCTCTCATTCTCCACTCTGCCTCACCGGCCTCAAATAAGTGAGGGGCCCTGTTCATTTCCATTTACATGTATTATATGTTAGTTATTTAAGTTCTCCCTTTGTTTTTTCTTTTTGATCATTAATGAAATATTCAATTCTTAAAACAAAATTTGAAAATGGAAATCATTCCAACAATCCATTACTCTATATGACCATTAATGCTCCACTTGTGCATAAAATTCAGGAAAATTTGAAAAAGTGCTTAGATGATGAAAGCACTTCACAGAGTTCGCAAATATTACAGCAAGGATCTTCTTGGAAGAATGATGTGCTTTCTCATGTTAAAGGACCTGATAAGAAAGGACGTGTTCGTTGTATGGGAAAGATTCTAACTTCTAATGGTAGTGGAGCTTCATCATCTCAACAACACAATCAACATGATCAAGTTTTGCAGGAAAAAGTTCAAAACTTAGAGGGTTTGGTGAATGGTTTTATATCTATATTTCAGAGGCGATTTCCTGATGAGCAACTTAGTGATATCACGAGTCTTGTAAACCATAACACAAATAGAGAGGTATGATATATTTATATTCAAAATTTTAAAATATATAGAATATTACTGTACTAATCAAATTTTCTTACTCCAGATGTCTCACCAAATGGGCATTGAAACTCTTCGACTTCAAGCCATCATCCTCATGGAAATCAAAGTAGTAATATTTATAATAATTATTTTACTTTATTTGTTTTGTAGTATTTTATTTTACTTTAGGTGTTTCAAGAATGACTGCTTGTTTTCACTATCTAAGGATTTTTTTCCATTCTTTTATTTATTTCGTTTTACCTTTTATTTCTACAGGTAGAGAAAAATCAACTTAATGAAGAGGAACGCCTATTGTTGCTTGAAAAATCAATTTCAAAGCCATGAGCATGCTTTTTGCTAGTTCTAGCATATTGGAGCAAATAAGTTGGTGGTTTATCCAACAGTTGCTTAGACGATGCTAAAAACATATTTTCTGGTTTCAATGAAAATTTAGGTTTTTATAAGTTTTTGCATATTTAGTTTTTTTTTTTTATGTATAGTTGTTCTTTCTATGTTGGTCATTTTGGTTGAACAGGAATCTTGAGAAAACATTCTTTAATGTACAAGTGTTCTCTTTGTGTTGGACATTTTAGACAAATAGGATTGTAGGGAAATATATTAAAAAAAAAAAAAAGAAAACACCTATACCGATGGACTACTTCCATTGGTTTGGCCTGAACCTATACCGACGGACTACTTCCGTTGGTATAGCCTGAACCTATACCAATGGACTAATTGTGTTGGTATAGCCTGAGCCTATACCAACGGACTACGGTTGTTGGTATAGCAACAACTTATACCAACGGCTTGCTAAACCGTCGGTATAGGTGTCTATACCTTATACCTACGGAATTAATCTGTCGGTATAGGTCTACACCGACGCTATCTTGCCGGATGCATCAAGCGACCGTCGGAGTAGCTCATTTAGGGTTATACCGACGGATTGGGTATATTTCCTGTAGTGTCACCCCTAAAAATAATTGAATCATATAACTTTCATTTTGCTAAAACTCTTCATTCTACAGAACTACTTGCCTCTTTTGGCATTGCATGAGGTTATGATCTCCAAAATTCTTAGCCCCATCAATATCATCAAACACATGCTCAGCATTCGATGTTGCACTAGTGGCAGTTACGGAAATTGCGTCTTGCTTATTCAATTCCTTTGTTGTAAAGGCACCATTTCTAGTTAATCATTTTCACATACCAATGCCAATTGGTCATAATTGTGAATGCTTTTTTGTCTGATACGCTTTGCCTCTAGATGTGCATGCTCATTTACCATGGGAGTTCCATAATAAGTCATCTTTTATACTAACTTAAAAACCATGAGCTTAAAGTACTTTGATTCAAAAGGTTTTTAATGTGGCAAAATTCCGCTTGATTGTTTTCGGCCTATTTCATGTGCATTCATAGGTACATTCAACTAAAACTTAGTACTAATAATGTTAACACGTGCTACCATAGTGTAAGCAGGTGTTTTTAAACTTTTGTCAACATTGTTTCCAAGGTTGACCTATTCAACAAATGTCTCAATGAGTAAATTATCCATGTCCTAGATCGAACTCATGTTCTATTTTCCATTATTATTTTTAAGTTGAGAGTTAGAACAGTCCTTTTCACTGATTGGTCAAAGTTCTTTCAATATTAGTATCATATAGCCTAAACCAAAACAAGAAGCAGTCCAAAAAAATTCTAGAACTCTAAATAAAAAAAATGAGAAAGTAAACTAGGCTCCTAACCTATGGACAATATTAAATTTCTTGACATTTGTCTTTCACAATATAAATACTGAAACACTCAAAAAGCAAAAAATATAAAAAAAAATAAGAATATAGTAGTAGAATAGAGAATCAATGACTACTACTAAGACTTGAAGAGTCTAAATATAATGCAAGGAATAAAACTTGGTAATTTTCATTACTGATATGATACCTCCAATTTGGTCTTAACTTTCTTATATCAATTTAGTAGTTTAGGTCTCATGATCTAGGTTGTCTAACGGGTGCCAAATTAATTTCTTGAGTATAAGAAAATGTATGCAACTGACCACTCTATAGTAGCATAGAAAAAAATATTGCCAAAAGTAAAATGATGGGCTTTTAAACTTAAACCTAGCTAGTGGATTTATTAGAACCATAAATTCATAATAGCATAGAATGAAGTAACTTTTTCAAGACATTGGTTTAGGTAGTTGTTCATGAAAGATTGAAAGAAAATAAACTGCATTATTTTATGTAGATTGTATTTAACTTGTGCAATAATTATTATTGATTGTGTAGAGCTTTGAGGGAATAAAAACAAAAATAGAGAAAAGAAAACATGGTATGTGAACTCAATTATCAATGAATTTTATTTAAAATAAGCATGAATCATAGACATTGTATTTGGAAACTAAATCACAACATGGTATCTTGGTTAAAAAAAATATTGGAAACTAACAACCAAAATAGAATGAAACATACATGTGAAACAATGGGAGAGAAAGTAGTTGCATTACCTCAAGTTTAGAACAAACATTTTACTGGATTTGGCACATATATACACAAATGAGGTGAAAATGTCAAATTTGGAAAACCCACATGTATTTTGAAGTTTTACAAAGGAAATTCACACATAAACAACCACAAAGAACAACAAAAATCCAATGTGACCAGATCTCACTAATGGATTAAAATGAAAAGAATATGAAAGAGAAATAGACATGGATGCATGCTCTCGAAGGATACGGTTTCATTTTGACTAAACCTTTGTCGATGACAATGAAGACGACGACTGAGCTTCCAACCATTGAGGGGAAAAACATAGGGATGGGGAAGAAGGAATAGTGGACCAAAAAAAAAAACAGAAAAGGGCAAAATAGAATCTCCAAAGCAAGTTGTTCATGAATTCTATCTTACCTTTCAAAGAGATGGCCAGAGAAGCCATCAGAGATATGACCGTTGAGATGCTACTTCAAAGGGAAAGGAGACTATCAAGTTCCTGACTTGACAAAGCCTGATAAATTTTCTCATATGTGTCTCGGCCATTTATTTTCCCATCAGTGTTGCATTATTTTGGTGGGATCCCACTCCCTTGTTTTTGGGATCCCGTGTCCCCTTCATTTCTCATCCCAAAACACTATATACCAGCAAACAAACATGGGAAAAGATAATTATTTAAGAATATTCCTCTTTTTCACATTCCTTTTCCAACAATATTAAACTTATCCTTACTGTTATATAGTGTGTCTTATGCACTAATATGGCACTAGTCATAATATCTATACTTGACAATGATTGTATGATCAAAAGTAGATGGTAAAGACACATGTATGCACGAATGATACAATCAATGCCCATATATAAGGGTTCAAACATGATAGTCTCTTTTAATTTGTATTATGTGGTTTCAAAAAAACAAGTCATTTTTGAAAAAAAAAAGATTGGCATGGTTATGAAACCATTTTGAAAAAAAAAAGATTGGCATGGTTATGAAACCATACCACCCTTTTTAGAACCATCAATTGAACACTACCTAGATGAACTTAGGTAATAGAAACAGGTAATATAGCATAGTCCATTAACTAGGACAAAAGAGTCACAAACCTAACCTCTTGATGCTAATGACAAATTTAATCAAGATGGTCTCTTAGTGCCCCTTTGAATATGGAGGTGTGGGATTACTTGCATAATTACAAGCTTTCTATGGTAAGGTTAGTAGGCTTCACGTGGACCTTGCGCTACCCCCACGTTCTTTTTGTTTGAAAAGCCTAATGGTAGATTCATTGAAATCGATCATCATCCAATACAGGTGTAAGGAAATCAAGGGGTGAAAAACCAAGTAATAGGGATGGGAACTAACACAACCTAATTTCGAAATTACATGTGCAGCTCGATTACTCGTAAGGGGAATAAAGGAGATAAGGGGATTATCAAAACTATGCATAAGGTCCTTGCAATCAGTTGTGGTTGAGTGAAGCACATGAGCTTTAGTAAGACTTAGTGTTTATTATCCATGATTTGGCTGTTTGGAAGACACCGATTTATGAGAAAACGGTGTTTTTTTTTTTTCTTTGTTTGGAAATATTGTTACCAGGTAGGACATTTTCTGGAGCAACAACAACACTTTTTGTTTGGTTCCAGTGCTTCATGTCTGTTTTTAGCACTGAGACCTATTATAGGAAGTCCACATCATTGCCACATCACACCCTCATTGGCAACAACGAGTTGCAATATGAGAAAACGCCAAATTCAGCATTGCTCCAAACCACACGTTCTCGACTTCCAAAGCATAGCTTGTAGCACTATTTTTTATGGACAAATGGTTCCCAACAAACAGGTGTTTCCTGGAACACCGTTTTTTTCCGACGTAACGCTAATGTGTCACTATTTTCTAGAGCAATGACATTGATGCCAAACAGATTCTTAGTTACCACCATGCAGAGTACATTGGTTAAACCTATTGGTCTTAAATCATTGACTTGCTCCAAAACATCTTTTCTTTCGAAATAGTAATGAGGTGTGTATCATTTACTTCTTTACTAAGATCTAGGTTACGGAAGACATGTTGAACAAAAGCTACTACCTTAAAGCCAACAATTTCCCAACATGATTGAAAGAAAGCGCATGAGTGCCATCTGAACTCAAGGCCTTTAGAGGGCCGGTAGAGAAGAGGGCTTCTTTAACCTCCTCAACTGTGAGAATTTTACAAAACATACAATTCACGTCATCATTGATTTGGGTTGGAATGAAAGAGGCATCAAACTGAATTGGGGGGTATGAAGAAGTGAATAACTCAATGAAGAAATCTCTGTTAGTTTGGGACATGGTTTTCAAAATTGGACCGGACCAATAGTCGAACCAGAAAAACCGGTAACCGGTCAGCCCCCGGGTTCGGTTTTAATAGAAATTGGAAATTGTTAAAAAACGTTGAAACTTGAAAGGGTCAAAAAAACCGCTGACCTAGGCGGTCAGACCGTTAAACCGCTCGACTCGAGCAGCGGTTTGCGGGTTAATATTTTTATTTTCAATATTTTAAATAAAAAAACAAAAAATAAAATACCTTTTATATCCCCAACCCAGTTCGAATCCCTTACGAACAAAAAATAAAATACCTCACCCTCACCAGCACTTGCAGCAGCGAACGACGAGCTTGTAGCGGCTGCCCGGCAAGTTTGCAGTGGCACTCGACACTCGGCACTGGGCATTGGCGACCAAGCCCACTGTCGCCGTTCGCCATTCGCGACCATCTCGATCCCAAATCCATCTCCAGCCGCTCCTCCCTCATCTCCGCCTCCGTCCAGCACCTCCGATTACGATGACACTTATGAAGACGATGTCCATGTTGTCGTTCACTCTATCTCCGAGGTCGAGCAAGCTTCCACGCTCGTAATGTCGGATCTCAAGTCCATCGCCAATTGCATGATTTCCTCGGGCTACGGTAAAGAGTGCGTGAAGATCTACAAGATCATCAGAAAATCAATCGTCGACGAAGGTTATACCATCTCGGAATCGAGCACCTCACCTCCTCTCGCATCCAAAAGATGGATTGGGATGTCTTAGACCTTAAGATCAAAACCTGGCTCAACGTCGCCAAGGTCGCAGCC